AATAGATTATGAAAACACTTTTACACTTGTAGTCCAATGGAGAACAATCAGGCTACTACTGGCTCTTGTCCAATGGAGAACAATCAAGCTACTATCGGCTCTTGTTGTACAACATAATTGGCCACTATATCACATGGATGTGAAGACAACATTTTTATATGGAAATTTATAATAAGAAGTATTTATTACTCAATCTTAGATCTTCAAAATCACAAGTAAAGAACACTTAGTATGTTGCCTCTACAAAGCATTATATGGACTTTGACAAGCACCTAAATAATGATATAAGAAAATTGACACATTTCTCAAAGGCCAAGGATTTACAAAAAGTCAAGGTGCCTAAAACTTATACATAGTTTAGCATGAATAAAAAATTCTTCTTGTTTTGTATATTGATGATCTTTTCTTTACAAGAAATTGTGTGAAATGGATACAATGGTTCAAAACACAACTTGAATCTTGCTTTGAGATGTTTGGATTAGGAGAAGGAAATATTACATTATTTCTTAAAACAAAATGCACACAATTACTCTAGGACATTTTTGTGACACAAAGAGCTTATCTAATTCAAATATTAAAATTATTTGGTATGACAAACTACCATCATGTTTCTACATCTATGGTAGAGAGATTAAAATTATAATGAAACAAGAATAGACTAAATCAAAAACCCAAGATCCTTCCAATCCACAACAACATAAGGCCTCTTCATAAAATAGGTTAAAACAGACCAAAATAAAATTGAACAGAACTAAACAAAATAAGGCATGAAAGAAAAAAGTGAGCAAACAGAAAGAAAACAAAACAAATCAAAATAAAAAGATGCAAAACCAAACTTTATTAAGAGAAAGAGTCCAAAGCCATATCTGACCAGATGCTCCAAAAGGCCTTGGCCATTCCTATTTATACCATGTCTTACTACCTTAGACTTTCTAAAATGTTCTTAGGTGGTGGGCCCTACTTTGATAAATGCCTTAAGCTTTCTTCTAAAAGATTCTATGGTAGGCTCTACATAAATAATTGCCCTAAATCCTTTCTAGAATGTTCTACGGTGGATCCTATCTGATTTACTAACCTAACTCCAATTTTAGAAACTTCCATGGTTTTAATTATCTATATAATTATCTTATCTATATCATGTTACATATAAGCTAACATGAAAATGTCATTGTGTGATCCAAAATTATATCAATCACTCATTCAAAAATTAACTTAATTTCAACATATGCATTTTGATATATCTTATACAACAAGAATTTGTGGTCGATTCATGGCAAGACCTCAAATTTCACATCTTTAACCTATTAAAAGTGGTTTTCTCTATCTAATAGAGACTCAGTATTTTGGAATATTTTATAAAATGTTCATCTTCACACTTTTGGGTATGTTGATGCTGACTGGGCACGTGATATAGGAAATGAAAAATCAACAACAGGTTTTGAATTTAGTCTTAGTGAAGCACAAGTGATGTCAAGTGATGTATTTAGTCCAAGTGATGACAAAGAAACAACAAACAATTGTTTTCAGTTCTTCTAAAGCTGAATATATGTCTGAAAAAGCAGCAAGAGAAGTAGCTTGGCTAGAAAAGTTAACAAAGGATCTTGGGCTAGAGATAAATTGACTAGTTATTATTCACTGCGACAATGAAGCCAGAATAAAGATGGCAACCAATCCAAATATAAATCAGCGTACAAAGCAAATCACAGCACATTATCATTAACAAAAGGATCACAAGTGGTGACATACAACTCAACTTTGTTCCATCTACAGAATAAAAGGCAGATTTTTTCACTAAACTCCTGGGCCAATCTTTTCACAAATTCAGACGAAGGTTACAATTGCCAGACTATCATGAAATTATCCATTCAATCGAAATTGAAGACTCCAACCACCAGCCCTTTTCAAAATTTCCAACATAATCCAGTGAGCTGCATACATCCTTAGAGAAAATAACAACCCACTGATCAACATATTTTCCTTGACTACAGAACCAGTTCTCTTGGTCCAATAAAAATTCTTTCACAATCTACATACTCTACCGAGAATTCGCTGTAACTTGTAAACGTCGTCCGAACACTCTAGATTTATAACCAGCCGCGGTATGATTACGGCATCCAATGTTCCCTCGATACTGAACGCAAATCAAGAGCGCTTCTCTCGATCTCCTACAATGCATTCTGTAGAAGTTCTTCGAAAATCAAACCATAGATCTTCTTCTCAACTTCAACCTTCAAGTTTTATTCCCGAATCAATTTACCTACATCCTCACTGAATTCTGCAGCCTCCTGAAAATCGAAATTACAGTCCAGTAAACAGGGACTTACGTGAATGTCCCACGCGGAGTCAACCTCAGAAAATGTAGCAAAATTAGAACCACAACCACATGACACCACTTCTGTATGCACTTCTCGGCATCGAAAACAGGAAGATACACCAGCTTTTCCTCAGAACCTTGATAAAAAAATCAACGATGCAGGACACAAAAGACGCTCCTTGACAGTTATCGTAACCACTATAACCTTTTTCACAATCAAGAACAGCAGAATAGAAATAATCAAAAATTCAAAAATCTCCACAATTCTGTCCACTATTTATCGTCGCTAGGATTTTCTTAGTTTTAAGTTTATAGTTTCAGAGTAAAAGGGCGTGTTGGCGTAGAAATCTCATAGATAACTGGATACATTCATTTAACCTAGGATTAACCTTGTTACTGTATATAAAGAAGTGCTCCTATTCAAGACTACATATCTGAATATAATCTCATTTTTGTATTCCCACTTTTTCTCCATATTCTACAAAAGCCGGGTTGGTACCTGAGATATTTTCATAGGCGGAGAGCATGGGAATCGTAGCATCTTGTGGTGTTGAACTTCACCACCCCCTCCTTCGAGAAGATCGCCAACTTCTTCTGCAATAAAATGGTATTGAAAACTGCTCCTAAATTGGAATCAAAGTTGTAAGCACGATTATCTCAAGCTGGTGAAGAAGATTCACAACAGCCTTCAACAAAAAGTCTACCTCATGCCTTTTTTACTGCAAAAAAAAGCTCTTTTACCAATCTGTGTACAACTAAGGCATTCTTAAAGGTTTTTTTAAAGCAACTTTGCATTGATCATTCATATAATCTAATAAGTGAGTTGCAACTATTTTCAGTCAATTCTTACACCATTGAATTGTAACTGCTATGAGTCTATGAACAATTATATAGGCTTTGGTGGGTATTCAAAATTGTGAACATAATGCATTGAATATTATGCTTTGAACTGATGAACTAAAAATATATTTTCTTTACTCTATTAGAGCTAATCAATAGATGAGATATGTAGAATAGACAAAGATGAAGCTTTTGAAGGATTTTGCACGGATTGTAATGAGAAAGAGTGCCAGAGAGTATGAGATTAAACTTAAAGTACAATAACATAATTTGTAACTCTATTATATTAAGGTATTTATAAAAAGATGTACATGGAGATAAATTTTGCTGGACAATAATTACATAATTCAGTCAGTTTATAAGTTGTAATTTGTAAAAAGATCAAAATTATTTACAGGAGCAGAATTTTCTATTGACAAGAGATGCTACCAACATGGTGATTTTCTCTGAATGGTTTTCCTCAAGGGACTTGACCATCATCATCATCCTCTTCTTTTGATCTTCTTCTTCTACCAATTGATGATGAAATATCAAAATAGGGTGTTTGTTTTAGCGTGAAAGAAACCTTGGAGAATAGCTCTTTACACCAAGGCATTCTGATGATAAAGAGTACTCATGGACACTAAAATTTAAAATTTAAAACATTAACAGTCTAGGTGCAAGGCACAGAGAAAATGAAGGATTAGTAATTGGTGGAGATGTAAGGGAGAAAATGGAAAATATATGTTGAACCCATGTCATTAAAAATGCATGGGTTCATGTCCTCTTTATAATAAATTTTTTGTAACAAACACTTGATTTTTTGCATATTTTCTGTGATATTGGCATGGGTTCAGCTAGTTATTTCATAAAATCTTTAATAGTTATATAAATTACATCATTTTTAATTACATATTTTGACTCATCATATTAATATTTGTAAAAACATCGAAGCTAGATTTTAGTCATTTATATATAATATTATTCAATTATTAGATCAAGATGAATGACAAGAAGTCTAAATAAATAAATAAAATTATTAATACATCACACGAAATAGATTTTGAGATATATTATAATTATTATTATTATTTCACTTTTTTAAACACCCAACAAAAAGCAAAAAGAAATGATTTACAAGATAAATCATTTTATCATTTGCACTCTTTAGGTATAGTGGAAGAATAATTTTTTAATGTCAATATTTTTTATTAATAAATTAAAGAAAATTTAATATATATATATATATATATATATACATACATATGCACACATTAGAAATTATTAAATCAACTCACCCTTTTAATAAATTAACCCATCGCGTGGCAATTGGCGTGGCCATCATACGTTTCATTTTTTACAAGTGTGTTGTCCTGCTGTAAACCTTCAAAAACTGCTACTGAATACTAGATGAGCGCTTTGGTAGGACTTGAAAGAAAATCATTTTCATTGATTAAACACGCGCAAAGATCACGCTAGTCACATGATGGGTTGATTTAGCAAAAGGGTGGGTCGATTTAACAATTCCCTGTTTATTTACTTATGTATTTATATATATATATATATATATATATATACACTAGAAATTTAAAGCCATCATGTTATGAGCATTTGTAAATGTACCAAAGATGAATTGAACCGTTCTCAGCACGTGCACAATCAGCATGGGGCCGGGATGTGAGCGGCCCGACCCGGCTGGGTCAGCAGGGGAACTGCGATTAGAAGAGGACGACGACGGCGATGATGACGGCGCTGACACAGCTGCACCTAGGATTGCTTCTCCATCGGACGAGCCGTTGTGCCCCCCGCTCCGTGGATCGGTCACAGCCTCTTTTAATCTACCGCCCTGCTTACTCTCACGCACGCGTTTCCTCTGGCCCTGCTACCATGCCCATTCGGTCCACACTTCATCGCATCGCCAGAATATGCCGTTGCGAGTGTGTTTATTTCGCCTCGCGCACTTGCACCATCAGAAGCACCTGCACCAACACCGAGTTGGTTTTGCACTTATCCACTAGCTGCCCCAGTGCGTATAAAAGTATGCCCAATGCGTCCTGATACTCCACATGACTGCATTCGTAATCTCGTGTTGCCTTCTACAAGAAACGCGCATCGCTCTATGCGGAGTGAGAAACCTGGTGGGCTGGTGGTGGCACCTGGTAGTCGATATCGAGATTGAGAATCCTCAGGTCTGCCGTCTACTGTTGATCAGTACGCATAGAAACTATTAGTCATCCGTAGGTTTACAAGTTCCATTTTGTTTATATTTGACTTACTTATATAGTTTTAGGTCTGATCATTATGTTTTAAAGATATGTTTATGTAAGTTTCGTCATATAACGTACAATTTCTTTTGCGATTTACCGTTTTGAGTTTCGTCTTGCACGTCTCTGCGAATGCGTTTTGCCATAGATATTGCTAATCGCACGCTCGGCCATGCAATTGCAGTCTTTGACAGTTGCATCAATATCGTAGTATAAAAGAAAATCTGCACGGGTTGTAGGCTGCGGAGCGGTGCCTATCGACTTTGGCGCATCGGGACGTAGATTTGAAACATGACAACTCTATTGAGCGCTACGCCATTTGTGCAATCCATTGGTTTGAGAAGTTGGGCTTTGGTTGGCGAGCTTCGAGGGCTCCAAGGTCAGAAGAGGCTACGAGTTTCCAGCGTTCAGAGCTCTGTTTCAGCGACTTCCGTGGGACATGGAGCTGATGACAGTGACATCGCTGATAGCCAAAACGTTCTTCAATGTTTAAGAAGCCCTCTCCTGAATATCTCTCCCGCAGCCTGGATTGCTACGTTTCGTGAGGTTCACGACGAAGCCCACCGGACCGCTGCAGCTCCAACATATAATAAAGTCAATCTCCCATCAAAGTACGAGACGACTGAACTGCATCGAGGGAACCGCCGCCGTTCGGAGAAGACTGTCATTTTCACAGCAGAGAAAGCCAAGCGATTGAGGAAGGAGAATCGCGCCACGCAAACATTCCACGACCAGTGGTACCACTCCGCCATAGCTAGCAGGCTCGCGACCCCCGAACAGGAATGCCTTCAATTTCTATTCCATAGGTTTGTATATACATTTACTAGGGCTCCGTCAGTTAGAAGATCGACGGGCCGACGACATTCACAGTATGATACACATATTTTAAGCACACCATGCATCAATCGCTCCCGCAATTAGAAGTTGCTAGAAATATTTTTTCGAGCAGGCAGAAAATCTGATGCTCTCAAAATTAGCAACTCGTTGGGAGTCATATCAAGACTTCGGTAATCAGAAACAGAAGTTGTAATTTGTACTGGATCAATTGTGGAAAATGCAGTACCTACGGATCGAAGTTCGTTGGGTCTCTGCACCTTGTAAAACAGTGTCGTCAGACACATTCGCAATATATTCTTATTACAACATCTATGCCTCTTTCTCATGTTTTTGTTCTCGGCACATGGCACATGGCACATGTGACACGGCGATTAAAGACTTTCATGTCTGTTTAACCTATCCTAACAAAACTGTGTTGGCGTTCTGTGAATGATGCGGAACTTGCATTAGGCAGTTGTTACCAGGTAAAGCAAGAAAAGTGCACTTCGAAAGAAAACTGACTACAATAGTAATCGGATCCGCAGACTCAACGGACGGAACGTGTTGGCAGCAGCCACAATCATCATTCACAGTATATGCCGCAGTCGAAAAGTGCGAAAGCGATCACCGCACAGATATTTCTCGTGGCTTCCTCGACCAGTGACTGAAGCCAGTGTTGTAGCTTGCGACCTTTCCCTCGTCAGAACGCGGAGCGTTAAAATAAAAAGAGAATGAAAAGCAAAAAGCAGGCCAGTCCATTGTCACGTCCTGCCGCTCCATTTCTTGCCGCCTCTGGAGCGGCGTCCTCCAATGGCAGAGATGCGGGGGAAAAGACCGATCAGCCATGAGCGCATTCTATTGCTTTTGTACATCGCTGCTGGATTCATTCCCCGATCATAGAGTGCGGAAAGATCGGGAGACTAGCCCGACATCCGCAATAAATCTCCCCCGAAAAACCACGCCGTGAATTCATTCTCTCGTGACAAATGGTGCGATTGGATCATGGATGGATCCAACCGAGCTTTCATGGCAGACGCGATGTGCAGGGCCTTGTTTCTATCCCTTAAAACATGTGTCAACCACCTCATCGTGTTCGGAGGTGGCAAGGAATGAATGAATGACGTTGGTGGATGGATGGGTGAAACTAAGCGGTGGCATTTTTCGTTCAGATTGTAACATTCCAGTTTCCTGGAAGATGGACCAATTTATTGACACTTTCATGAATTCTAGAATTGGAGTGCACCATTTCTCCACATTACAGCCGTACTACAAACATTTTTATATCTTTACAGTTCACAAATTCTCTGAAATTTTCAAAAGGTTTTACCTCTATGCATTGTGTATTGATTGCACCATCATTGGGCCATTTGTGTTTACTTGGAAAACTTTATTCCACTTCTTCCCTTTTTTACCACCTACTTTTTAATAACCTCGCAATTAGGAAATTTTATGACAAGCATCTCCTAAACAAAACAATAATAGAAAGAATACCCATGTGTCAAGATAATTATTTGGTAAAAATCTGCTTTAACAACCATGTTCAATTAGTGTATTAACTAGGTCTTTGCCTAGAATATAAAATAATGAATATTCTTAATTTATTATAAAATAAATGTTTTACTACTTATTTTATATAAACATAAATATATTTATATTTACATTATTAAAAAAAATAAAGTATTTTTAAAATATTTATTTAGAAATAAATAATTTTAATTCTTTACCACTCATAAAATACATAAATAATCATTTTTAAACTATGTAAATGTAAATCAAAAGAAAACATAATATCAATATAAAAAAATTATAAATATAATATAAAATGAGATTATAATACCAACATAAAATAAATAATAAAAAAAAATGTTTCTCCATCAGCTCCACATTAATGTATTCCATTTTTAAATATGTTCAAATTGATACGATAATTTCTTGTTCTTCAAACATGATAATAATCTGTTTTTTTAAAAATACCAATAAAGGTGAGAGTAAAAAATATTAAAATATAAAAACATACACTCCCTCTCTAAATTTTTTATCCTCTTCATTTTAACATTCTTTTTCAGAAATTGACCAGCTTTTCTTACTCCACATCACAAGCAATCAAAAGTGTGTTTCAATCCATTACTTCATGAACCCAACATTCATAATTCCAGAAATTCCCAAATATTGGTCGTACTCTTTGTACTCCGGCGGGCCAAAATGCGATTCCCTTCTTCAAGTAGGATCAAGAATTAGGGTTTCGTCGCTAGCTCCACACCGCAATTTCCTTCCACGATGGGTGCGATCGGTGCGAGGTGGTCCGATGCAAGCGTCCATCCCCGATTCACCGCGCAAATCCCGAAATTGACGAAGCATGAAGTGGAAGACTCGGACTGGGGGAGTACGACAGTGGGAGATGCCAGGGATATATTTTTAGAACCTTTTCGCAAATAGGGGAGCCAACGTAACATATGCAGCGCGTCCATGTGTACATTAATCTCAGTGACAGCATCCCAATCATCTTGCTGGTTGCTACCCTTGCGCAATGGCCAGGTCTATCCAGCTTGAGTCTGCCCATACTCACATATCGTGTGCTCTGCTGTCCTACTCGCTGCGATTTTGATGCAATCCTTCCAGAGTTCCAAGGGCTTAAAAGACAGATCTGCATCAGTAATGGCAGAAAAATATCCGCCATTTCGTATTGTTTTCGTTTCACCATTGCTTCCTCAACGCATTGGCTGCCGGCCGAGTGTATCTGTGTGCCAAAATAATGTCGACTTTAAAGCTTGCGGCGCCGTTTGCAGGATCGAAGCCGTTGAACGATCCTCCATCGGTTCATAAGTTCGAGGGTCACAGAAGGCAAAGGCAGTGCGAGTTTTGTGGCAGTTGAACGCAGGTGTCGAAGGTCCAACAAGTGGAAGTGAGAGCGACGGTAGCCAGGAGGCCGTCAAGATCCTTCAGGCTTATTGGAATCCTTTGCTCAACCTTCCTCGCAAAGATCTGATAGCTGCCATTGCCGAAAAGGACAAAACTTACAACGCTGTGCCCGCCGTCCCTGACTCGAGAGAGCGTCGTCCGAAAGGCCGGCAGGTGGTTTTCACTGCAAAGAAAGCTCGACTTCTAAGGTAGGGCAATCGCGACACTCAAACATTTCAAGACAAATAGTACCATTCCGCCATCGCTAGCAAATTAGCCACACCAGACTAATGTAATTGGTGGTTATCAATCACAGCTAGTTAGCCAGTATACACATTAGTTAGCAAACCAGCAATCTCGTAAACGTTGCAAAATTTGTCGACATTCACGGAATAGCCAGCTCATAGAGAACTCAGAACAGACACAGGGTTTTGCTGCTCTGAACATGGGTTCATTCAGATGCGATCTCGGCATATCCTTTCCAAGCCTACAGTGTACAGCTCCATTTCCTAGCGATGGTGCGCAATATACCAAACGCCTTTCAACCTGGTTAGTTTCAAATGGTGCCCAACCATGTTACAATATGATGTAAAAGCAGTCTGCCCACACCGCACCCTGTCTGTAGATTGTAAAAAAAAGAAAAACCTCACTTCCATTCATTGCAGCGAACGTTACAACATGTTGTGTCCGCATTTTAGGCAATCATTGCCAGAGTCTTTCTTCTCGTCCGCGCACCTACTCTTGATCTCCTCTTCATCGCCGAGCTCTATACTGAAGTCTCACATAGATCATTTTTCAATCACTACCAGCGGAATCTTGCTCTTGGGGTCCCCTGAAGCATAACCCATCAGCTTCAAACAGGTGACGTGAACACGACACGTTCTGCAAACCCGCGTTGAGCCTTCTCAAACCCTCGTGTCCTTCGGTCTCCTGCCACGCTTCGTGGTGAGCTTCACGTTGTGGAACCTGCTTTCGTCCATATGTTAAGGGTAACCGGGCAAACATCTCCTCTCCAAACAACTGCGTTGCCCCACAGAAGACCACTGAGTCAACCTCGCCAATGCTGTGACAAAGTTGATCAATCCATTTCTTCCTCCACTTTCCTCGTCTAAGCCGAAGGTAATTCAACACCTAATTAACTTCCCCCTCGACACGGACGTTCCTGAAGCGCAGATTGACTCCCCGTGCTTTCACACCCAACGCGATACATTCCCGTCGTCTTCGATTATCGGCACAGCGACCACAGCGTCCCTTCTGGACATCTGCCAAGTGCTCTCGGCTACACCGTCATGCCAAGCGTAAACCCACAGTCCCCAACTACTATTTCTGCTCCTTTCCTTCTGCTCACCTCTTACTAGTGCATGTGTGCAGCATTGCATTGCAAGAAGCCGGCCAGCTGCTGCCTAAATCCGTCTCATTTCCATCCCAACACCACATGCAACCACTAAGTACCGTCCAGCCAATCCCATGAGCGCTAGGTCAACCAAGTCAATTGAGATCCGCAGCCACCACCTCAACAAAATCGCCAGGCTGTTCCTGCTTTTGACTAAGCTCCCGGAACCACACGGCAGTTTTTCACGAAAAATACATTTCAAGCTCTCACATACTCTTCATCACAGATAATGCTCTTCATTACAGTTGACCCCCCCGCTACTTTATATAATCCGCTGCAGCAAAAAAAAAAAAAAAAGAAAAAAAAAAAAGTGTTGAGCATAAGAGGTTATTCATTATCACAGGTTATTCATTATCAGAGCTTAGTCATCATCACAACAACAAACCGCACTAGATAGCTGGAGTCGGTTCCCAAAAACTTGATTAATTATTCGGGGGTCGTTCCTTTTCCAAGATTAATTATCGGGAGGAAATCCGTATTTCGCGAAAGCCCATCGTAGTTGAATCTGCAACTTCAATATTGCCGCATTATAACAGCATTTCAGCACTCGGCGACTACACCGTTGCAACTCCTCTCAAACAAACAAAAGCTCTAATCCCACATCTTATTGTCCTACCAAACCAACCGCAGCTGCCCGCACTTTATCCAACTAGTATCCCCACAGGTTGTTCCTGATCTCATCATCGATCTTCTCCTTGGCTCCTGGATTCTTCGCGAAGTAATCGTCCACTGTCATTGTTCTCAGAGCAGCCTGCACACATTCCAACACCAACTTCAACACGTCACTACACCACGCCGCTGTACCTTCCTGCACTGCATACGCACACATTTCAGCTCCGGCGCAACCCCAAAAAGCCCCGCCACTCAATCCAACCACGCTGCGTCCGTCGCAATGTCGTTACCTTGTTTTCTTGCACCTTCGCGATCTCCTTCTCCAGAGCAACGATTTTCTTCTTCGAGTCTTCCTCCTGCTCCGCAGCCTTCGCCATCTGCTCGTGAACAAACACACCCAACCACGTACTTCACTTCACTGCCTCTCCGCAGGATGTCCACCATGACCACAACTTACTGCCCACGCAACTCACCCACCCCGACTCCTCCTCATGTTCGCACGCGTACAACATGCCGCCACCATCTGACACCTCTACACATCGCTACTACCCCACACATCCTTTGCTTCTGCACAACCCGCGTTGCCTCAGTACCGCGATTGCTTACCAATGCTTGGTGCTTGGCTTGATAGTCTGCGGTGTACTCATCCTTGTACTCCGGCACCTCCTTCTCCAGTGCTGCAACGCCACACCAATTCAACACAAAGCTCCAACTCCGACCTTCTCAACCACGACACCACATCCAGCAACAACCACCACTCTAACCCTGTCAAAACTCCAACCACGCACACGACCACATTCTACAAACTCACATCTCACGGAGTCCTGGAAGATGTTCACGATTGAAGGACCCAGCTTCTGCTTGTAAAACTCCCAGTTGATGTTCGTAGGTTTCTGTGAATCCCCACGTCACCCACAAGGTCAGCATCCGAACCTCCATCCATCTCAGACGTCCCAACATCCCAACCACAAAAGCGGCAGGGACGCAACCCTACTGCATCTCTCCTCAACCCAGTGCATTGCTTTCCGCTCCGCACGTACCATCCACAATCAGTCACAACCACCCACCCACACTTCCTTAACCACATCTTCTTATCACAAGTTACTGAACCGGCCATTAACACTTCCCAACACTTTCAGTTTCGATGGCAGAACCTGGTGAGAGTCTTTCCGCGGTTTCACAACCATCAATTCTCACCACAAGTGCCATTCCGCTGCACCGGTTTCTAACATACGCACCGTCAGCTTCTCTTCCGACCATAACATTGCCCACGTGGGGAGTCACCCTCCACGAACCCTACATTCGCTCTATCAATCCAATCCTGCATTTACAATTTTGATAGAACGTCTTCTTCAAAACACTCACATTTCATTTCAATTCATTTCGCTTCACTCCAGTTCACATCATTTTGTTCTTGCTCCCAAACTATTCCCCTGATTCATTACCCCCATCAAGCTTGTTCTCCGGAACTCATCCAACATGCGGGACCCCCTATCATAGCTGCACGCGTGTCCATCAAGTGGCCACCGCCAGGGTGATGACCTCCGTCGACGACAGGAATTGCGAACACTCGACCCTACGACACAAACGCACCGAACCCGACACCTCGTCGGCTTCCAATGGCACATGTGTACGCGTCCAGACCCATCCGGAACGGCCGCGACAACGCAATCCCACCACGGAGTTCAGAGCCGGGCCTGGACCCTAAACCTGTGGCTAACAAGCCTCCGCCAAAATGCACAAAACGCCCCAACGTCTACCTTCACGTGACTACAGAAAAACCCTCAAATCTGAATCTCCAAGATCACCACCAACAGAACCATACAACCCTACGATCATCTCAGCGCAGCTTCTCCGCCACCTCTCCACAACCACCGCCCGACCACATCACACTCGCAAACACCAAAATCAGCTCCCATCCAAACCCTAACCTCACGAGACAACCCTCACTCGGATTCGCCCACTGCACCACAGTCCACGGCCGAACCCGTCGCCAAAAACAGATCGACAGGATGAATCCCAAAAATGAAGGAGGGAAAAACAGAGGGCATCCTTCACATCCTCCACAATTCTCCCAAATCACAACACCAAATGCCATCACGAGGCCCGAGTGCACACGACGAGGACGCCGAACCCCTGAATCAATCACCCAAACAAAGGACGTCAACTCACGATGTTGAACTTGTCGTTGATGGTGGCAGCGACGTCGTCGTAGGCGCGACGAAGCGCAGCGAGCTCGCGCTTACCGGAGTCGGAGACCACCACTCTCTGCAGATAATCCCAGTCGATGGCCTTGGCCTTCTGCACGGCCTTGCCAGCCTCCTGCACTGCCTTGCCGCTCATGGTGGGTGGCCTTGGGGGGCGATGAGCGTCAGGTAAAGCGGAATGGAAACCCTAATGCTGCTGCTGGATCTGCAATCGCGAGGATGCTTGAAGGGCATGAAAAGGCGACTCACACAAACACTCTCTCAGTCCCTCTCTCTGGAGTTGCGTGCGTGCTGATCTTCCTTCGTTGGCTCTCTGTCTCTCCCTCCCTCTGTGTGAGTGGGCTTGAGGTGGATGAATGAGAGAATGAATGTATTTGTGGATGAATATTCGTTCCCTGAGGGGCACGGATGAATGCCTCTTGGGGTTGGACGAATTCGTGCCTGCGAGGAGATGATGGGCATAGCAATAAATATTATCCAAAAAAAAACTTATCGATTTTTTTTTTTTCTTTTTTTTTTTTTTTTACCTATGATAGATTTTGTACATAGTGTAAAATATGCCATCTTGATAAAATGAACCTGAGACATAGATCAAATGAAATACAAATATAGAATCAAATGAACCTGAGACTATAAGATTTGTGATAAAATTAATAGAAATAGAAGACTATGGTTGTTTCAAAATAGATAAAGGCTAAAGAAGTCCTAAAGATCTATGATAAAGAGTTTTGGATCTTAAACAAATATCATATGATTGTACAAAGACTTTAAGTACTTTCCACATTTGAGGCCATCAAAAATCTCCTTATATTAGCTCCAAAGTCTTATTGTATCCAAAATGTCCAACTATTGAAAAGTCATGATAAATTTGGAAAATACATAATCATGCTTTTTCTTTTAGAATATATAATTTTCTTTTGAAATAAAATAGATTATTTTTGAATTCAAACTTAAAAGTACAATGAGACCTAAAAGAATTATTCTTATTATCATGAATAAAAAGATCAAAGGATATATTTGATTGAATTTTCTTGACAAAAATAAAATCAATACTTAATGTTGATTTTATTAGTGAAAGATGAAAATACTTTGCTTTCAAAAAAATTATTCTTTGTTGATCATAAGGTACATCTTTTTCTTTTGATGCAAGATAAGATTATCTAAAAAGGGCATCAAATAAATCTTATTATTTTTTGGATTGATATATTATCTTAAAATGAAATCTTGATAAAGATATGCTCCAATGGTGTTGTATTATGATACAATTGTATGATGAAAATATGACTAAAAATTATTTTTTAATTAATACTCTATTATATTAATTCAACAAGAATTCAACATATTTTAATAGGGCTTTTATGAAAGCCTCTTAGCCTATTTTCTTGTCTTAATAGCAAGTAGATAAAAGTTAATTAGTATTTTTACCTTTTAGGATATAAAAACTCTTTTATTGCCTTAAAAAGACTATAAATTACTAAAATTATATTATAAGAGATAAATAATTAATATAGTTGATACTAGGATTAAGTTGAGGATAGGATTGGACTAAAAAATCCTTATGATAGGTTAGATTGATACTTGGGGATTGACTGTTTGTGAGACAGGGTTGAAATCAGACCTCTGGCCACTAAAATGTTCGCCTAGGATAAAATAGAGTTTCATTTGAAGATCAGAGATTAGGGTTTGAGAGCTAGGTTAGAGCTTATTCTAGAGACATAAGGTTGGTTTTAGTAGGATTTGAGGAGAGTTAGCAATTATTGTTGGAAGTCAAGGTTTGAATTAGTAACTTGGAATTTTTGCAATGAAATTAGGCGTAGCACTCTTGGCTAGTTTGTAAAATTGGTATCACATCTAGAGTTTAAATTTTGGCAATACTTGAATAATTAGGTGTTTGAAGTGGATCTGAAATTTTGTGGTAATTCAATGGTGTAATTGAGAGATATCTAGGTTTTGGTATAAGTATATATTCAAAGTTGGTAGTTTGGGGTTAGGTAGGGTTTCTATGATATTTGGAGATCTATTAGTTGGATCAAGGTGAAATTTGGCTTAGTATTGAAAGACTTGAAGATCAAACTACAAACCAATTTTGAATCAAAGTTAACAGTTGAAAAAGGAGAAATCAATGCTGGAATTTTTGCTTCACCTTTCATGTTGGCAGCCAAGTGACATTAGTGTAGTTTTTGGAGATCTTTTCACAATCTGTAAGTTGGATTGGGCTAAAAATTCTTGAGCGTATAGAAGACTTATATTGAAAATTGTATGTAAAATTTTATATCCAGTAGATAGTCAGATTAGAAGTTACAACTTGTCAAAGCTCATTGATTAGGGTTGGGTCTTACAAGAAAAACCAAAATTGCTTAAATATGAAAGTAATAAGGTAATTGAGGTTTATGTATGAACGAGGCTACTAAAAAGAGTATTTTTTAGTACTTTTGAATGAGTACTTAGATTATATTCTTTTCATATGGGTGAAACCTATTAGGATTTCTTGGATGTTTGTGAAACACAACCTCACCTTCCAGAGTTAGGTGCCCAGTGCATTTTCAAGCAAGACAACATGTAATACGATAATAGGCTTGAAAACAATTCAAAACATGTGATGACATGATGTTCTTGTGATCTATATTTATAGTGATTGGATTAGAAGCATCTTCTAGATAATACCACCATTTTTGAAATAAATCCACAATTACAAAAAACTCTTTATCATAAATCTCATAGTTAATCTCAGTTGCTAAAAATTTCTCGAAATAAAAAGCTATTAGGTGGAGGTTGTTATTTGCTCCTATTTGTAATTAAATGGCATCTATAGCAAAGTTTAATGCATCTATTTCTATAAAGAATGCCTTTGAAAAGTCAATGCAATACAAGTTTGGTGCATAAATAAATATTATCTTTAAGGCTTTAAAAGATGCTTCAACTTCTTTGTTCTACTGAAGTTTGTTTTTACATATCAAGTATATAAAAAGAACTAAAATTTGAAAAAAGTTCTTGATGAAGATCTCATAATCATTGGGAAATTTCTAAAAAACATTGTACATCTCTAATTATTTTGAGAATCTTCAAATCTATGATAGTTTGAATCTTCTTAGGATCTAATATAAGACCATTGTTTGAAATGATGTATTTTAAGAAGTAAACTTAAGTAGTGTAAAATACACACTTTTTTATCTTAGTATATAATCTTGCATCTTTTAATTTTTGTAACACATGGTGAATATGAATTTCATGCTCTTTTTTGTTCTTAAAGTGGATTAAGATGTCATTTAAATAATAGATAAAAAAATCATCAAAAAACTCACAAAAGTCATCATTTATTATATGTTGAAAAGTAGTTGGCACATTTGTGAGTCCAAAAGATATGACATTATATTCAAAATATCTATATTTGGCTTGAAATGGAGTTTTGTGAGGGTAAATTTCTCCCTCACTCCAAATTACAAGATGGCCTCAATTAAAAGTTGCTTGTAATTGGTAGTTAGAAGTAGAAGTAGCAATAAACAAGAACAAAAGAAAGACAACATCAAACAAGTGAAACAAGTGCAATCAAGCAATTGTACACTATAAAACTAATCACAACTTATTCAGTGGATTTTTATCCAATAAAAGATAAAAGTAAAAAATTAAAAATATATTTTTAAATAGATAAATTTTTTTATCTTTTCAATGACATAAAAATCATGTAATTCCAAGTTACTATGAATAAGTTATAATAGATTAAAGATAGAATGTAAATAATAGAAAAGTTAAGTAAGTAATTTTTGCCTCAAGGATAATTTGTTTAAGAAATCAGGAGTTCAAACCTCACTAAGGATCACAAGTAGTGTATATTGGTAGTCTAAAGAGGCCTTGAGGCCTTAGTCTTATCTTCCTACCTATACCGAAGGTGCTACAATCCACATAGAAATTGTGCATCTCTCTTCCTACAAGGACTACACTAACTGCTGGTCGTCCTTTTTTCTACTAATAAAACTATTTTTATTATATTTTTGACTACGCCATGATATTCAAAAATACCCAATTAGAAAAGAAACCTTTTATTTTCTTAAAATTTGTTTCATTTCTTCATAGTGGCTCTCAAGATGGTAAAACTCAATTTTACCAAGGTATTTAAAATTTTCTCTAAAAATTCATAAAAAATCCTAAATAAATTCTAAATAAATTCTAAAAAATTCTATAATATTCATATAATACTAAAATCTAAAAAAGACTGTATTTTTCTATTTTAGTGATTTTTTTATAGTAATAAAATTAATTTAAATCCACTAAAAATCCTATTATATAGATATATATATATATATATATATATATATATATATAACTTAAAAGATAAGTTCTTTTTCATGCTTCTTTTAACTATTAACTAATCATTGATAGGATTTTTGTAAGTAATATATGTAGATATGAGGCCAATATATAAATTGGTCTCAATTACTAATCATTAATACTCAATAATGAGTAAAAATACTAAACCAACTAAGATAATTGCCTCTAAGGCTTACTAAGATTTCATTTTTGTAACTTTTCTTGTAATAAGACTTTTATACTTATAAATACTTCTAAATTATAATGAATATATAAGTAGTCAAAAAGAATCTCTAACCTTAGTATTTATCTCATTAAATAACTCAATACTATATTTTTAACCAATCCATCAATTAAAATCTATTGGTGGGACTCACAAGTTTTTTATTTATCTTTTTTTTAAATATATATCAAATTTTATACTATTTATTGATCTATTTTTATATAGGTCTTTGATTGATTCAATTTATCAAGAAGTTTTGAAATGAAGGATAAAAGATATGTATTCTTAATGGTGATCTTGTTGAGTCTTTGATAGTCTAGTCATATCTTTAAAGATTTTTTTTTTCTTCATAAATAAGATAGAAAATCTAGTTAGAGATTCAAAATGGCATATGAAGTTTTTAACCAAATTTTCATCAATGTATTCCTTAAGTATATTCAACTCGTCCTAAGATAAGCTATAGATTGGTCCAAATAGCGATTGAGCTCTTTCTTCAAGATCAATGGAACAATCATAAAGATAATACTTTTGAAGAATATCTACATTCTTCTTTTCAAAGATGTCTTGATAATCTTGGTATTAGCTTAGAATGTCACTTGAAATCTTTTCTTCATCAACAATGGATATGGCATATATAATAAAAGTTGACTCTTCTTTTGCAGCATGCATGAAAGTTTTTGTATCTATCAATAATGATTTGGATATATTGATTTTATGAAGTCCTACTTAATTAGCAAAATTTTGAACTTGATTATAGAAAAAATGAAGATTGTAA